TGTGTTGTATGTGTTGTATGTGTTGTATGTGTTGTATGTGTTGTATGTGTTGTATGTGTTGTATGTGTTGTATGTGTTGTATGTGTACATGTATATACCTTGTTATGTTGTATATGTTATGTATACGTTATGTATACGTTATGTGTATGCCTTGTTATGATGTATATGTTATGAATACGTTATGTGTATGTCATCTGTTCATCTGTTCATCTGTTCATCTGTGTATTATGCGTTTGTGTATATTAATATGTGTATACTAATACATAATAATATCTTTTATATACCTGTGTATATGTGTGATATCTTACGTAACTATATGTTCGATTGTTTTCATTCGTTTATACGATCCCATCATTTAATGCCATGTCACCCGCTCCACTCTTTCACCCTAATCAGTCACCCTAACCCAGTCACCCACCTAACCGGTCACCCACCCTGACCGTTTACCCTCACCCTAACCGTCACCCTCACCGTCACCCTCACCGGCACCCTCACCCTGCTTTTCTCCAACGAAACATTAACCTTTTTTCATGCAGTCTTTTTCACTTGCTGATATCTCATAATGTGTACCCTTACAGGCGCACCCCCCTGCATTCGATAATCGTGTGCGTTACTTTCGGGGTTTTGGTTACTAAATGGAATGGGCTATCGTCCAACTGGGCGGAAATATAATAATATAGCAAAGTCGTGTTCACTGTCAAATAAAGCCTGTTGAGAAAGGGGGAGTGATTGATTGATTGATTGACTTGCACGAATTATATTGACCGGGGTACAAAATGTGATGCACAGATTTCGGGATGGGACGATAATGAAATGTTGTATATGTGTGAATGGATGTGTGGAATGTGGTGTACATATAAAGCATATAGGCGTAAAAAAAGGCCCATAAAATAAATATAGTGTGTTAACGATTGTATCAATTAAGATGGCAAGTCACTGGCTATTATCCCCCCCCCCCCTTCCCCTCCCACTTTTCCTCCCCCATCCTCTCCCATCCTCCCCCATCCACATACACCCCACCCCATCTCTCTCCCTCTCTTTTTTTAAAAAGTGGTTAGTTCTCGTTTCACACTGACAATGAGATGTAAATTGCTTAATGCTGTATGGGGTTAATAAATATTACGAACTACTCCCTTTATTGATTGTACTTATTATTATCATGTTACAAAGCCGCAGTTATCTTCTGCGCCATATTACTTTTCCGCCCTTTCCATCACCATCTTCTCCTCCCCCCCTTATATTCCCAAACTATGAATCCATTTCTGTCGCTTATTTACTTTAAGTTTGTTTCTGTCGTCCAATGAGCTTTCAAAATAGAATCTCAGTTTTTTTTTGTGTAGGAAGAGACGTTCCCTCTTGGGAGTAATGGGTAATCTGCAGCAAGCGTAATACAAGACTGTGATTGTGGGTGTAAAAAATATTGGGCAAAGTGGCATATGCTGCTCACCCCTTGTAGTAAAGCAAATTAATGTTTTGTCGACATTTTTTTGTTCCCTTCTTTCCTTCTCATTATCCAATTCCTTTCATCATAGTTTATGAAAATGAATAAAGAAATGTATGAGCAAAGGAGAGAGTGGAAGTGAACGAGATAAAAAAAATTACCGTATCATTGCGTCATTGAACCGTCTTCATTAGCAAAGCATACATCATTCGTTTACATCGGCATCTATTCCGCAACACACATAAATTATTGTGTTACTGACAACAAATATCAATACTTTGCATACATGGTTAGATATTGACTAAAGAGTCCCAAATAATTAGTAAACATTTGAGGAGTAAATAAATATTGAGACTATTAATACGTATACATATTTTATTATACAAATACATTTAAGCTTGTACCGAATATCAAGAATTTTACTTGTTATTCGGTGTGTGTGTATAGATGTGTTTATGTGTGTGCGTGTATTTTTTTTTACATGTAAACAGAGACTTGCTCTTCCCCCTTGTCCTTTCTCATTAAATGCGATAAGAACGTGATAAACACAAGCATCATGAAAGAGACGAACATATGCTTTCCCCCCCTCATTCGTAGGCGTGCTTCTTTCATCAGAATTTGCCAATAAAGATTGATCGTTTGTCATTACCGATATGAGGTGTCTTTTCCTCCTCTTTCCCCCCCCTTGCTTCAGTTAAATTTTTTTTCTTGGCGGCTTTTTTCTTTATGAGATGTCTCAGACCAACCATTTATCGTATCGAATGTCTGTGTGGCCTCCAGTCGTTTTGATTTCTTACCCACATGAATCTACCACCCAGAAACTAACTACAAACAATGAAATCGGTACATTGTAGTCGGTACACTAGTTTTAGTTTTTATTATTAATTTAATATACTAAATATCAAATTTATACATTGTCATCCATCAAGTCTTCTTACAAATATCGCATCACATGATTTTATTCTAGGACCCCTGACCCATTTCGCTATCGTTCCAATCTCTGTCCCTTCTCCCCCATCCCACCTTTTGTTCGATCGTCACGATCAACGCCTTATTGACCACATCGAGTACTCTTGTGTTCCCAGTATTAAATACCTTTTGGGAGTAGAAGTTGAGGTAGCGTCCACACCTTACCGTCTGGTCGGGTTATACTTTATGCATATACGATATGCAATATTAATGATTTATTTATTTGGCGGTGAATTGTGAATTTAACCATCGGTGACATCTCTGCTCATTGTCGGTAGCGGTGTGCATTGCTGATATGTTGAGTCGTACAAAAGACCAACATGCGCAGAGCATGTGGGAAAGAACAAACGAGTATATAATATTGCTACATAAAAAATATTGATTACCACATAAAAGACACTGAACCAGTAATAAAAAATGAGATTGTGACAAATAATGACAAGCAAGTAAAATCAATGAACAATATTTACAAAATAAAAATTCTAGAATGGTAATTACAATGACTATACAATTGATATTTTAATGTATATAGTAGATATACGCACACACACACACACATAAACATACACACAACACATATACGCACACATACACACACCCGGCCTGGGAGTCTCAACAATCCATCAGCTTAACAAAAGTAACACGCAGTAATCCATTCATTTCATTTCCACATTAATACAGAGAAGCTCAAGCATTACAAGAGTCCTTTATCCTTTATTAACGTCTATGCACGACTGATAATACAAAATAAAACTATATGAGATATGAAATAGCATGATAACCAATATTGAAAAAAAAGAAAGATATTTATATATTTATATTTGTATATTTTGTATATATTTATACATGCTACACACACTAACAAAAGCAAAACAGGCTAGAAAAATAAGGAACATCAGAATAGTAATTACACCGAAAATCATCTTTATCCGCAAGATCACGCCTCGGTATTATCATTATTTCCGACATCACCAGTAACACCACTAGTCATAATCCCCCCCTCATTGGTATTCACTTCCATTTGACTCCCATTCCCATCATTATTACCGTCTCCTACTCCACTCACAATTTCAACGTCTATTTCACTTTCCCCATTATCCATCTCCTGTCCTTTCTTGGGTTTCAGCCCGATCACTAACTGTCCCAGTTGTTTAGTAACACTCGCTAAATCATCAAACCGGCCAAGTCCATTTCTCACATCTTCTCCTTCCAGATCTCCGAGACTGACCAGATAAGCTTGTGTAAGAGGGTCATCTGGTGTTAGGTCATCATCCGACAACGTGATTGACAATATCTGGAGGATCTTAATATGGAAATCGAATGTTGTTATTAGATAATAATATGAACAAGAATAATAATAACGGTAAGAAGAAATAAAAAGAATACAACAAGAATAGTAATAAGAATAACATCAATAACAATGAGAATATTATTAAGAAGAATATTAATAGTAAGATCGAATGAATGACAAAAAGTAATTTATGGAATGTATTGCCATCGGTAATTTGGTTTATAAATGAGACAAAGTGTGATTCATATTATAAATGAGGTTGCATTTTACATTATAAATCGGATGAGTAATTGTATTGTGATTGGTGAATATATGGTTGAGAATTAGTTAGCTTTACATGGCTGGAATGGAGTAAGAAATAATGTATTTATAGATGTAACACTTGGATTTAAGTATTGGAAATACCACGATGAAAAGCAAATAAAACGTAATGGATATCATGATTAACTCGTTATTTAGAATAGAAGCTATAATTTTATAAACACAAAGCAGTATAAAGGAGATAGGGGTGAAACGAATAAGGGCTAACGGATGTACATAAGATGCATAAACACAAACAGAGAAAGCCTATTCAAAATAAAAGTGAAACAACACATACCACTATTAACTGCTGCACTACGGGCACAATCGACGCCATATCGTCTGCTCCGATAGTCTCCTTCAAAACCTTAACATCTGCTGCTAATTGTTGTATTCTCTTGGATACTATAGGCTGAATAACATCCGCTTTGCTCTTCTTAATCTGAAATATCATCATAATGCGTATCGAACGTTTAATAAAAAATAAAAATAAAAATAAAAAAAAAATAATAATTGAAAAGATAACAACTGATAACTCACAATATCTGTCAAAGATTTGAACGCATTCAGTTTCTCTGAATTCAGATTCAATACTATTCGTGGTTCGTCAGAGTTGAGCACGCGTTCGATCAGCATAGCGACTGACGTATGTTCGTAAGCACCTTGAAGTCTGACGTTTTCTGACGAGTTGTTGTAAAGATCCAGAAGCATTGTGAAAACAATCCCCGTGTCAAGATCAAACGTTTCCAAAGCTACGAGGGAGCCTGTTATGGTTTCATTGGGAGGGAAAAAAACATCGGGAACGAAAAGCTTGAAGTTAGTATGTTATATACGATTGATCACGCATTCATGACTATGCACATTCATTCCATCTCAATAACCACACCCCATCCACTTAATAACCACACCCCCATTCACTTAATAACCAACTCCTCTTGATGCAAACATCAACATACAAAGTTGCACAGCTCTATCATATTCTTCCATTTCGACGCCCGCTGTAGCCGTGCGAATAATAACGTCCGCATATGGTTTATACAGCTCTTCTTCTAATCTCTTAACCTCGTCTGACGACAATTTCTGCAGGAATGGTCTATACACGTGGATGCGTGCGTTTGTTGATAATGAAGGTCCGTTGCGACCAGGTACACCCAGAAGGGGAAGAAACGGTGAGCGTGGACCACCAAAGTATATGTGAAGGTCTGCTGTATGGATGAGATGGGTAAAAAGAGAACATGTTGTGGATTAAATGTAGCTAAGCAAAATTAACTGTCTGCGTTCATGTGACTGACCTTCTGGTGATGCTTGAACTGCTTTCTTCTGCCAGTCCAAATGACTATCGATCAATGGCTGTAATATCTCTGTGCATATATCACGAGTACTTGGTATCTTCAACATATAGCACAGTATGTTTATTACTCGAATATAAATGTCATGGTCAACTCCAGGATGCAGAAAGTGAATTAAAAGTCTTGCGAAATTTTTTCTTTCCGACCACGATTCAAGTGAACTTTTAGAGACTGAAAATAAAGATGGAGAATATTGTTTTAGCTAAAATAATGGCATGATAATTTAGCATAACTGCATACCTTCATCGGAAGCACGGACGGCCAACCTGAGATACATGTGAATTGCATTCAAACACTGAAGAAAAATATCATCTCTCAGGAGATTTTCTAATCTTCGGGTTAGATTCTCTTCTCCACGTATCTTTTCAATGACAAAATATTGTTAGCACAATCACGTCACGTAGAATGAGTCATCGCAATACATATTTACCCGTGACAGAGTATCGAAGCCTTGATTTTCGCTGAATATCCGAAGATCATCAACTGTATCTCGATATAACAATTGATGTAGCCTTCAGAAAAGGAAGTAAAAAAAAACAAATCAATAAATCTCAATAACCAACTTAAGAAAATTTTCGTCATTATCCATACTTCAATACTGTTGTTATTTTTCTATTGAGCGGTGCACAATTGGGATGATTGAAATTATTCAACACAGCCTTCCAGCATTTCATTCTAAACTCTGGCGATATGTCTGCACTTATTTTAAGTAATTCAAGCAATTCATCCGTTTTCTACAACACATTTAACTTTTAGTACATGTCCTTGAATGATAAATTAAACCAATGCATGTGTATATAATCTACCACATACATGTTCTTGATAAAAGTCGCCGAATACCATACTGCTCAGGGCCCATAGGAAATTAGGAGCCTCCATCCATGCCTCATGTACGTCTGGCATTTGCTTACATGCCATAAGTAATATGCCATAGTATTTGGGCAATGTTTCTTGGTTATACAATATATTTTCTCGTGAATGATTTATACTTTAATACATAGAAGGGTTGATGTGAATATGAGAGTAAAAATTGACAAAGTCGAATTGAGAAACACGAAAATATTTACCTGACGTAATACATAAACAGACTCTCGAGTATAGATGCATTGAGAAGTTCAATGTTTGTTGGACATCCTTCGCATACTTTGTGCCAGAATATAATTAATTCCTTGAAGAATTCGGTTGGGTAAAACGGGTGTTGAATTTAAAGAGATGATATTGTTACTTTCTAAATCAACCAGCATTAAATTTACCTTTTTATCCATATCACAGTCGATCCTCGCAAAATCCAAGGCACGGTAGCAAGAGACGAATCGATCAAAGTACCGAGCAAACTAGTGAAAATTATGTCAGTGGAATAGCGAATGCTTCGACATTAATAAGATCATTACATACCATTAACTGTTCATTTGGCGATCGAACACACTTTGTCAAAACTCTAAAGTAACTACTTAATCGCCATCCGCACACTTCTAATTCTAGAGATACAACACGCTCGTCAGTAATCATACAATGCATGGAAAAAATAGCAGCTGAAAATTTTACTAATCCGAGCTGTAAGCACCGAAAAATCGTGCAAAATGTCTTTCCACACAGTTTACCACCCATGAAACACATACCCTTCCTACGCGAA